CACAGTCTTGGATTTTCAAGCAATTGGGTGGGAAATGTCACTCATGGGACACTATGCAATTGATAATCGCATAGCATTGGAGGCTATTACAGTAGATAAAGGGGGAATGTATGTGATTATAGGGGGAGATGCATGTTGTACATTCTTGCCATCAGAATAGGTTATGGGAAATTAACTAAAGCTATGGGAAATATATTAGAGAAAGACAGGAGTGGAAATGTGGAAACAAGACTACCTCAGTCAATCAGATAGCGCATTTGTATGTTTTGTTTGTTTGGTTCAAGTAATGTTATATCTGTGGAATTTCACTTAAAACATCACAATAATGAAAAGGGTGAATTGATATAACGACTTTTGATACAGGATTTATTAATGTATGTAAACTCATAAGCTGTATGTGAGGGACAGAGGAGGGAGAAGGACACGCCAGGTGTTATTGATGTCACGGGTGAGTGACAGAGGGTCGGTGTGCCAAGATAGATTGGGGGCCACTGTTGCTAATCTTAGAAGGAGTGCGTGAGGGCCTGGCTATGGTGCCACACGATACCATGTAGGGTGATACTATTGTAGTAGATGACTGGCACTCAATAATGGTTGTCAACTGTGGGATAGAAGTAGCTCGGAGAGCATTATATAAACTGAGAGATTTTCTATGGAAGTCATTCAGATGACAAGAGGCTACGAACGTACCGCTTGTCATAGAATCCAGTATTGTAAACATTAAATTATGACTGAATCAACTCCCCATATAAGTGGTCGACTACTCTCTTGCATCCTGAACTTCTCGATACCAGAAACTCATCATAACAGTAGTGTTTGTGTGTGTGTGTGTGTATATTATATATATATATATATATATACACACAGAAATAAGACATCTCTTGCTTCTCTGAGTGTTTGTTTAATAGCCTACTGATTCCGTGAGCACCAAGCCTCATGCAACTGCAAAATGTCAGATGAAGCAATGTCACAGATTCGGCTGTTTTTAATAATAATAAATAAATAAATAATATGCCATTTAGCAGACGCTTTTATCCAAAGCGACTTACAGTCATGCGTGCATACATTTTTTGTGTATGGGTGGTCCCGGGGATCGAACCCACTACCTTGGCGTTACAAGCGCCGTGCTCTACCAGCTGAGCTACAGAGGACCATAATCCATAATCTTTGCTATGCTTTAATAAAGGGTTTACATTTATTTTTTCGTTAGAACAGTGCTATTACTTATAATCTATTTAGTGTTGTTTACACTGTTCCAAACGTGCAGAAAAATTATATTGTAATCTTAAAGCACCTGTTTGTCACACATAATATGCACGCAGCACTCCTTTTTCTTGATCTCCTTCTTATTGTCATTATTACAATTATTATTATGATAATCATTACAGTAATATGTCATTATCATTAGTAGGCTTTGTATAGTAGCCTTGTATAACCACCACTGAGAGCTGTAGAGCGCGTCCTATTTAGTCTTAATACCGTAACTTACTTAGGCCTATATTTCAATATATAGGCTACTGTTTCAATATATAGGCTACTGTATCAATCAATCAATAATTCATTCGTTCATGTCATCGCACAGCATACGCGTCATTCATGCTTTGAAATGCAATCAAGTGTTTTAGTTTTAAAATTAAATAACAAAGGGAGCTTTGATTAATTAGCATAAACAATAAATAAACCGCAATTCACGAATGCATGCAACCGTTTTTAGTCTTTGCTGTAATAAAGGCTTTATATATTTTTGTATTTTATTCATTAGAACAAACTGGTACACTTAGTGTTGTTTACACTGTTCCAAATGGTCAGAAACAATAATAATATTGTAATCAAACAGCAACTGGTTTGGCACACATAATTATCATGCAACACTTGCTCCTATACCCTCCCTTTTCTTGATCTCCAGTAGTTTCCACAACTAAGTCAAATGTCTTCCACAAATCTGACTTCCCCTTTCCCTCCTGAGCAACCAGTAAACATTCTCCCGTTTCGAATTTCTTTTTCACGTCCCCCGCATCCATTTTGCTGTCACGTGTTACTGTGTTCAGAGTTTGTTATAACCAATTTACTGATGTGATTATGATATGCTATAGGTCAGGCCCTATTGATCACATGCATGCGAGGCTTACATGTTTCACGTAAAGAGAGCATGGGTTGAGGGAATAGGGAATGTTTTTCCTAAACAAGTTAGGAATTTAGTTAACAGCACTTTTGAGTCAGAAACAAGTAAGAACGGAAAGGCTGAAATGATGTTGCAGCTTCAGGACGGACATCCCAATAAACACTTGCTGTGCTGTGGTGCCTTCTCGCTGCAGTAGGGAGTAGAGCGAGACAACGTGTGCCAATCACACAATCCATTTTAGAATAAGGCTGTAATGTAACGAAATGTGGAAAAAGTCAAGGGGTCTGAATAACTTCCTAATTCACTGTAATACATCTGACAGTCAACTTTCTAGTTCCACACTAGGGCTGTCCCCCATACAGTGAGGGAAAAACGTATTTGATCCCCTGCTGATTTTGTACGTTTGCCCACTGACAAAGACATGATAGTCTATAATTTTAATGGTAGGTTTATTTGAACAGTGAGAGACAGAATAACAACAACAAAATCCAAGAAAAACACGTCAAAAATGTTATAAATTGATTTGCATTTTAATGAGGGAAATAAGTATTTGACCCCTCTGCAAAACATGACTTAGTACTTGGTGGCAAAACCCTTGTTGGCAATCACAGAGGTCAGACGTTTCTTGTAGTTAGCCACCAGGTTTGCACACATCTCAGGAGGGATTTTGTCCCACTCCTCTTTGCAGATCTTCTCCAAGTCATTAAGGTTTCGAGCCTGACGTTTGGCAACTCGAACCTTCAGCTCCCTCCACAGATTTTCTATGGGATTAAGGTCTGGAGACTGGCTAGGCCACTCTAGGACCTTAATGTGCTTCTTCTTGAGCCGGTCATTGTCATGCTGGAATACTCATCCACGACCCATTTGCAATGCCCTGGCTGAGGGAAGGAGGTTCTCACCCAAGATTTGATGGTACATGGCCCCGTCCATCGTCCCTTTGATGCGGTGAAGTTGTCCTGTCCCCTTAGCAGAAAAACACCCCCAAAGCATAACGTTTCCACCTCCATGTTTGACGGTGGGGATGGTGTTCTTGGGGTCATAGGTAGCATTCCTCCTCCTCCAAACACGGCGAGTTGAGTTGATGCCAAAGAGCTCGATTTTGGTCTCATCTGACCACAACACTTTCACCCAGTTCTCCTCTGAATCATTCAGATGTTCATTGGCAAACTTCAGACGGGCCTGTATATGTGCTTTCTTGAGCAGGGGGACCTTGCGGGCGCTGCAGGATTTCAGTCTTTCACAGCGTAGTGTGTTACCAATTGTTTTCTTGGTGACTATGGTCCCAGCTGCCTTGAGATCATTAACAAGATCCTCCCGTGTAGTTCTGGGCTGATTCCTCACCGTTCTCATGATCATTGCAACTCCACGAGGTGAGATCTTGCATGGAGCCCCAGGCCGAGGGAGATTGACAGTTATTTTGTGTTTCTTCCATTTGCGAATAATCGCACCAACTGTTGTCACCTTCTCACCAAGCTGCTTGGCGATGGTCTTGTAGCCCATTCCAGCCTTGTGTAGGTCTACAATCTTGTCCCTGACATCCTTGGAGAGCTCTTTGGTCTTGGCCATGGTGGAGAGTTTGGAATCTGATTGATTGATTGCTTCTGTGGACAGGTGTCTTTTATACAAGTAACAAGCTGAGATTAGGAGCACTCCCTTTAAGAGTGTGCTCCTAATCTCAGCTCATTACCCGTATAAAAGACACCTGGGAGCCAGAAATCTTTCTGATTGAGATGGGGTCAAATACTTATTTCCCTCATTAAAATGCAAATCAATTTATAAAATTTTTGACATGTGTTTTTCTGGATTGTTTTGCTGTTATTCTGTCTCTCACTGTTAAAATAAACCTACCATTAAAATTATAGATAATTTCTTTGTCAGTGGGCAAACGTACAAAATCAGCAGGGGATCAAATACTTTTTTCCCCTCACTGTATATAGACAGTGACACTACACATGCACTGAGCTTGTCTGATGCTTTAAGCACACTGTTTGATTCAAATAATGAAGACACACAAATGACTTAAGAAAGAGCCCGAAAGTCACACTGTGTTAAAAAGAATTACAGCGAGTGCCTGTGTGATTGGCACACGTTGTCTCTCTCTCCTCCCTACTGCAGCGAGAAGGCACCACAGCACAGCAAGTACAATGTAAACATATTTTTAATCTGTCTGTCTGCATATTTCAAGATATTGGCATATGGGGGTGTAGTGAGATCCCCAAAGGGGCTGGATGATTCTCTTCTCATCACTAATCTTTAAAAAAGGTATTTTAAAACTTGGAAATGAATTAATCCGCCATCATTAACACAATGGAAAAATCGAATGATTTATTATTGAAATAGCATGGGCAACCAAGAAAAACAAATTGGTACAATTTAAGGCCATGTGGCAAACAATAATGCAAGCACTAGGGATGGAGATTCTGAGTTGTTGTTTGTGTGCGTCTATAAGTTGTTTGTATGTGTATCTTTGCATTTGGTGTGGGAAAAAATAAAATAGAAAAACAATAATTAATTAAATACTATTAAAAAAATAGTGACTTCATTATCAAGTTGACATTGATATGTAAAAAGGTCATATGACTCACAGTTTGAAAGGCAGGAAGGGGGGAGAGAAGGAGCAGAAGGAGACCTGGGACACTGCTCTACCCTCATTCACCAGCTCTCCACTCCACACTGTGTATTTACTCCTGTCTGTAGACACAGACAAGGGCATAACAGTCAAACACATCCATCAGTAGATAACATCAACACAATGACAGTACTTACCTGCGAAGTGGCTCTGAATGAGAGCATCAGCTCAATGACTAAAACATTAATTATTCATAGTAATAATATCGTAATCCTATTTCCACAAAGATCAACAAATTAGGACATTACCTTTACTTCCTGCAGATGTTTGGCTGTTTGACCTGTTAGAGAACCCAAACAAAATAATTTGTGGATTGGTTGACATTTCTACATCAACACTTATGCATAATTGACATAGACCTGTACCTTAGGGGAGCCATGGGCTTGGCTTGTAACAGAGCATCTTTGCCTTTGAACTGGAAAGAGACCACTGCATAGGGGCACACGTGCCTCGGCCGAGCCTTCAGCTCATCAAAGTCATACTCATAGAAGTATTGCTGTGGGGGGGGAGGCCAGAATGAGACGTACAGTAAATACAAGAAACCTCTATGCCGCACTTGCATTTGAGTTAGATTTTCTCCTTCAATATTAACAAATATTGGTTTATTAATCGATTATAATCCAAATTAGAGACCTATCCTCTACATGCAACGTAGTTAGTACCAGTACCTGAGTAAGCTCATAGGCTCTATAGGAGGTGAGAGATGTGACTTTGCTGGCATTCTTGGATAAATGGCTGTCAAACTTGGGCGTGGGGTCCAAAAGGTTCTTAGACATGTTTTCATAGATGCTCTTTACTTTACCCTGTTGGAGAGAGAGATTTGCTTGTTTACTTTCATTCATATTTTGACCACGTTATGAGAAAACATTTATGCGAAAAGCAACGAGGTTTTCTTACCTTGATGACCTTGAATATGATGATCTCTCCCATGACTCCAGGATTAAAAGGATTGACCTGCAGTAAGTCTGAGTATTTAGACAAATAAACACCTGAAAGACAAAACGGAAACAATTCAGTCTTATTCCTCCTCATAACCTTTTTACTAGGGCTGGGAATTGCCAGGGACCTTGCAATACGATTTCACAACACTTAGGTGCCGATACGATATGTATTTCGATTCTTATGATTCTACATGTATTGCAATTCGATACTGCGATTTTATTGTGATTTGATGTTCCAAACATATTGCTCACGAGACAAGAGAGAGCATGAGAAAATGACTTTTGATCAGTTGTGGAAATAAAAGTACTGAAAACATGTTGGGTCACTATTTAAAAAGATTGAGAGCAAGCTATAGGATAAAAAAATACCTGAGTTTTGGTGCAGGTACAGCCAACTAGCGCTAGCTAACGCTACCTTTTTTACAAATCAATACTTGGGAGTCAAAGTATCAATATAATAACATCCAAAATAATGTTGCGATACGTAACTGTATAAATCTTTCCCCCATCACTACTTTTTACTCTCCAGAAAAATATGTTTCAACAAATAATCCTCACTTCAGTTTAGAAATACCTATACACACATACAGACAATAACTACACAATAACGTCTGCCAACACTTCAACACTCAGGTTTAAATAGCCCAATATTGCTTGGATGATGACCTTACCCTTAGCTGGATTACCCAGAGCTGTGATCCAGCTGTGCCCCACAAGAAGGCCATTCTCACAGATCCATGGGAGCTATAACCAGGGGTGTAACAGTATTATTGCATGTAATATGTACATTCAATATACATATAAATGTGCGGATACTATAGCTCCTCACCTTGATGGTGTCAGCCATCAGGAAACAGTGGGTCTCCTCCAGCTCCTTCTCTGTCCTCCCATCCAGCTTCAGCTCCCTCCTTTTCTCTACAAACTGTCAATCAAACAATGATCAAAGATATTAAACATCAGCGCTGCAGATTCATGGTGTTTTTGTATAACGAAAATGTCACCCTAAATCATTGCTTACATTCTTCTCCAGCAGTTCACTATGGACGATTCTTAGCTTGGTGTACGTGAACGTCCCGTTGGAGCTGGCTTCTCTGTAGCTGGAATACAGAATAGTCAAGATGTCCTCAAACTCCCTGGACTCTGAGGACACATACTGGAACAACGCTACAGGGACAGAGACAAGAGACAGTCAGGTTGGTCAATTCAGTTCTATCCCAAATCCCAATCTAAACATATTTGTCCCCTGTGACAAAATAATGTACAATCTATTCTATGCTCAGTTAGAATACTGACCCACACACAAAAACAAACTTGGTTCCATGTAAGCCATTGTGCAACACAAATAACACCCCCTCAGCGTTAGCAAGTCAATGCATGCTTTTCTTCTTCTTTTTGTTCAGAAATGAAACTACAGATGCTAGGCTTATAAAAAGCCACATTGGCCAAAATAACCGGAAAATCTGGTTAGGTGCTACTTCTGATGAGACATTGTGCAGTCTATTTTCACAGAAGTGAGAAAACCACACCTCTGACTTGACTTCTGATACACTCTCAAAACAGTTTCAAATCATAACAGGAAGCCTGTGTCTCAATGTGGTAACATCTTCCACAACAATGTGTTACGTGCTGGGCTGCAGGCCTTTCACAAACTAAACCACATTATGAAAAGTAGTCTAATCTGTGTTGGTTGACAAGAGTATCACCTCCTCTACAACATTCATAGATCCATCAAGAACATTTTGGCAGCATAAACAACACACTGATTTAAGACATTGGGGCTCGAGAGAATTACACATCTGCATAAATTGTGTCCTGTAGAAGAGTTTGTCGGGAAGGTTATGCAACAACAATCATGGAGAGTGGTAGCTCCCTGAGTTGTCTATCGTTCTGGTGGTTGGCGTCGGAAAATAACCCTACCACAATATATAATATACAACATATACAAAATAGCTAACATTAGATAGTTAATCCAGAGATTCTTACCTTTGCCTCGATTCGGCAGTCTCGTCCAAATCATTATGGCATTTATAGTTCTTTATGATAGCCACATTAGCGTTTACTTTTTTTCACCTTGTCCTAGAGAGATTTAACGTTACACGTATCAACCTGCAGAAACAGTGTGCAAGATGTAGGCTAGCCTACAGTACTGTGCTGATCTACAGCATTGTCGTATAAATGCATATTTAAGTTGTCTACACAATCTTGCTACCATTTTTTGCCTTGGGCATTACTAACAATGCCACAAGCTTCTAATCCTTGTCGGCTTATCAAGGTGCTATGGACAAGACCACGCCATAGGTCTCTCACTTCCAACTGCACGATTAATTGCTCTGAGGACTAGACCAACAACCCCCCCACAGCTACAACATCACAAACAAACACACACCCAGCTATACGTTAACTGACACATACCTGTACACAATCACACATACACACTACACACACATGTTACACAACCACTATTAGCACAACTCAACACAACAACAATGGATCATTGTAAGCAACACACAACAAAAAACCCCTTCTACTTAGGACATTAAGACAGAACCCACTCAGAGCAATGCATGGAATACTCGACAACTTAGACATGCATATGCACATTTCACACAATACATCTATTTATCTACTTACACATCTACTACACAATGCTCACCAGCACTCTACATCCCGATGGCTATCTAGCTACCTACCTGGCCAAGTAAACCATGTTTCACTTCCAGGTGCAATAAAAGCAGGTGACCTAACTAAGCAAGCTTAGAACATGCTAAATAAGCTAACAAGCTATCCTCTAGCTATTAGTTAGCTGAACAGTGACCCTGGTCAAATTCAATGATCTGACAGCTGAAACACAGTTTGTTTACAAGTAACGTTAGTTTAGTTAACTTCCAGAAAAAATGGGTATCTTTGGCAGTAACGGTAGTATCAAAAACATCAGCTGGCTAGCTAGCATATACTGCTAATTTAGCAATTAATTTAGCAATTGAGAAAGTACCTATCTTTTCTTGGTTCTTTCTCGGTATCTGAAAGTTCAAGTGGTCCCCCGCTTTTGGAATATATTGCGTCGAAGTTCCACTTCTCGGTCTCGTCTCGGTACCACCAGCTTGCTCGGAAGAATGCCCGCCATGTTCACTTAGTGTACTTTCGGGGGGTAACGTTGTGTAATATTTCACTGAGCTGTATTTCGATGCAGGGATGTTGTCACCACTGTGGCTCTCCATTTTAGATAGAGGCTGAGTGTTGTTTTCCCATACACTCTGAAGGCAGACACTCAAAAAATCTGGCCTGCTCTTTCACTGATGTATTCGACGCACAGACTCTCCTCCATCCACAACGGGCCGATGCTGGATCAGACGATCAAGGTTTTATCCGAAGGGTTTTGGCGCCGTCTGCGGGTAGATTAAAGGTATGATTGCTAAATTTATATTGACATTTTAGTCATTTAGCAGACGGTCTTATCCATAGCGACTTAAATGTGTCCGCATGCTTCCCAGCCGAATCAGTTCGGTAGAGTTCGTGCATATATTATGATGACATTTGTGACGTTTGGGACCGGTGAGGGTTTTTTCGGCATTTCGGGGCCGAAGTCTACGCTAGGGATTCTTTAATAAATGGTTTGTTGTCATTCAAGGAGAGACGAGTTCGGTTCGGTTGGCGACTAGCCGAACCGAACGCGTGTGGTCGCATACTTCCTTAAAATACCTTCGCTTGAAATAGGAGAAAAAAGCTGCAATACTATTGTTTGTCCATTTTGAGACGCCGTAGCCAGTATGCTTCTTCGAAATAGTCAGAATTGATCTAAAATAACTCAAGAAATCTGTCATTCATTTTAACATTTTGCCGGGAAGATTTAGTCGCGCATTTTTACATCTAACTAAGATTTTTGGTGCAGTATTTCTCAATTAAAAAATGTGCATGAAAACGAGTCGTCGCTCGTTATTCTTCTTCTGTGGCTTTTATATGGCGGTTGGCAACCAACTTTAACCAACTGGACTGGTGTGGACCAGACCAGTGTTGCCAACTAATTTTCAGGTGAAGTTGCTAGAGGCAGGTCGATTTGTTGCTAAAAGTTCCTAAATAACGTTGTGATGTCATTAAAAAAAATAAACTTTATTTAACCAGGTAAGCCAGTTGAGAACAAGTTCTCATTTTTAACTGCAACCTGGCCAAGATAAAGCAAAGCAGTGCGATTAAAACAACAACACAGAGTTACATATGGGGTAAACAAAACAGTCAAAAATACAACATAAAATATATATATATATATATATATATATATATACAGTGTGTGCGAATGTAGTCAATTATGGAGGTAAGGCAATAAATAGGCCATAGTGCAAAATAGTTACAATTTTCGTATTAACACTGGAATAATAGATGTGCAAATAGAGATACTGGGGTGCAAATTAGCAAAATAAATAACAATATGGGGATGAGGTAGTTGAGTGGGCTAATTACAGATGGGCTGTGTACAGGTGCAGTGATCGGTAAGCTGCTCTGACAACTGACGCCTAAAGTTAGTGAGGGAGATAAGAGTCCAGCTTCAGAGATTTTTGCAGTTCGTTCCAGTCATTGGCAGCAGAGAACTGGAAGGAATGGCGGCCAAAGGAGGTGTTGGCTTTGGGGATGACCAGTGAGATATACCTGCTGGAGCGCAGACTACGGGTGGGTGTTGCTATGGTGACCAGTGAGCTAAGATAAGACAGGGATTTGCCTAGCAGTGATTTATAGATGACCTGGAGCCAGTGGGTTTGGCGACGAATATGTAGTGAGGGCCAGCCAACAAGAGCGTACAGGTCACAATGGTGGGTAGTATATGGGGCTTTGGTGACAAAACGGATGGCACTGTGATAGACTACATCCATATTTATCAGTGGTAACAGTGTTTCCTAGCCTCAGTGCAGTGGGGAGGAGGTGTTCTTATTCTCCATCGACTTTACAGTGTCCCAAAACTTTTTGGAGTTAGTGCTACAGGATGCACATTTCTGTTTGAAAAAGCTAGCCTTTGCTTTCCTAACTGATTGTGTATATTGGTTCCTGACTTCCCTGAAAATTTGCATATCGCGGGGGCTGTTCGATGCTAATGCAGTACGCCACAGGATGTTTTTGTGCTGGTCAAGGGCAGTCAAGTCTGAGGAGAACCAGGGGCTATATCTGTTCTTAGTTCTGAATTTTTTGAATGGGGCATGCTTATTTAAGATTGAGAGGAAAGCACTTTTAAAGAACAACCAGGCATCCTCTACTGACGGAATGAGGTCAATATCCATCCAGGATACCCGGGCCAGGTCAATTAGAAAGGCCTGCTCGCTAAAGTGTTTTAGGGAGCGTTTGACTGTGATGAGGGGTGGTCAGTGACCGCGGACCCACCCCTGGGGGGTCTGTAGCAAGCGGAAACAGTGAGAGACTTATTTCTGGAAAGGTGGATTTTTAGAAGTAGAAGCTCAAACTGTTTGGGCACAAACCTGGATAGTATGATAGAGCTCTGCAGGCTATCTCTACAGTAGATTGCAACCCCACCCCCTTTGGCAGTTCTATCGAGACGGAAAATGTTGTAGTTGGGGATGGACATTTCTGAATTTTTGGTGGCCTTCCTAAGCCAGGATTCAGACACTGCTAGAACATCAGGGTTGGCGGAGTGTGATAACGCAGTGAATAACTCAAACTTAGGGAGGAGGCTTCGGTTGTTAACGTGCAAAAAACCAAGGCTTTTACGGTTACAGAAGTCAACAAATGATAACGCCTGGGGAGTAGGAGTGATACTGGGGGCTACAGGGCCTGGGTTAACCTCTACATCACCAGAGGAACAGAGGAGGAGTAGAATAAGGATACGGCTAAAGGCTTCAAGAACTGGTCTTCTAGTGCGTTGGGTACAGAGAATAAAAGGGGCAGATTTCCAGGTGTTGTAGAATAGATTCAGGGCATTATGTACATACAAGGATATGGAAGGATATGAGTACAGTGGAGGTAAACCTAAGCGTTGGGTAACGATGAAAGAGATAGCATCGCTGTGCAGACTGGCTGACAAATTGTCCAGGCTAGAGCTAGAGCTGGCTGGTGGGGAGTGCAGGCCACGGACAATGGTGAAGACGCTAACGGTGGCTAAAAGCAAGTAGCCATTCGGTTGCAGCTAGACTAGTTTCAGCTTAAGGTTCTTGATAAAAGTTATAAAGAAATAATTGAATCCTTTCCACGTTGGGTGAGGCGGGTTGCAGGAAAGTATATTTAGTTAAAGAATAAAAAGTAAAATTTAGAAATATATACAAAATAGACAAAAAACAAAAACAACTGGCTATTTACACAAGGACACAGAAAAAAACACGACCGCACTGCTACGCCATCTTGGAATATAGAATACACAATAACGTTACTGAAATTGACTGGCCATCTCAGCTTCAAATATGATTTGACATTTGTTAGTTTAGATTTGTTTGTTTATTATCACATTTTTATTTGTAAAGGTAATATAAACACAACACATTTTATATGATCAGATATTTATATTTTTAAACACAACACATTGAATTATTGTACAATTACACATTACAAATTATTGAACAATTACATTTAATTTATTTTCTTATTAACTAGTAAACCTACACATTCTGAACAATTATAGTTTTAAGCAGTGTATTGGTAGTTAGTTAACATGCTACCTAACTGATCAACAATTAGTACAAGCTAATAACAAGGTATATATGCTATCTTGTTGAACAAGCAACTTAACTCAAATAATTATGTGTGGGCTAGGCATCTCTCTCCAGCTCTCTCCAGGTTGTTGTGCTGCTTGGCTGGCCTGCTGCTGCCTGTGCACGAGCTGAGCGCCTGCTGCTGACGTCACTCACAATGCACTTTTGCAGCCAGGCACCTGTGCTGTGACTGAGTGTGACAGAGAAAATCGTTTTTGTGTCATTTAGAGGGAAAATGTGTGCATTTTAGCATTTGAGTCACTTTTCAAAAGTTGCTAAAAGATCCAAATAAATGTTTAAAAGTAGCTAAAATTGTTGTTAGGTGCTGTTTGAAAATAAAATTGCCAGGGTAGTCTGAAAAGTTGCTAAATCTAGCAACATAATTGCTAAATTGGCATCACTGCTAAAGACCGGGAAGGTCTGAATGCTACCCAATATTCTTCTCGTTTCCCTAAGGAAACGAAATTCATACTACATCCCGTGAAGATTTCCCCAGCAGTTCACTTAATCCTGGCTCTTCAACCCCATTACTCCTCAAATCTAATAACAATCGCTCCCTTTCCCTCCCATATTTCTGGCACTGAAATAGAACGTGTTCCACTGTCTCCATCTCCTCCTGACAATGATCACACCTCCCAGTCGGATGTTTCCCCACCAACTGTCGTCTGTCGTTGAATGAAAACAAATACTTTATTGAAGAATCCCTACTGTTGACCAATCACAGAAAAAGGGGCGTAGACTTCAGCTCTGAACTTCGGCTTGCCTCTATAAAAAAATAAATGTATGCCCGAACAGCCAAAAAAACTAACTGAAGTCCAAAACTAATAAAAACGTCACAAAATGTCCTCATAATATATGCACTAACTCTTCCGAACTGTTTCGGCTGGGAAGCATGTGGACACCTTTACAGGAGCAATTAGGGTTAAGTGCCTTGCTCAAGGGCACATTGACTGATTTTTCAACTAGTTGGCTCAGGGATTTAAAAAAAGCAACATTTTCTGTTACTGGCCCAACACTCTTAACCGCTAGGCTACCTATACGCTAGGCTACCCTTTACATGTGAGATGTTTTAAATATATTTTTTAAGTAGCTTGTTTTATTTGACATTTTGTGTTTCAGAAATATTCATACATACTGTATCCTTCCACTTATTCACTGACTAAAATAACCAGCTCTTGACATGATCTTTGTTCTGTTGGTCTGAACAAATATCCAGATTTCTACAAAGCATTGTGGCTGCCCCTGAGAACATACCACTGAACAGTTGTAAGGAGAGTATTGGTGGTCAGACAGACAAAAGAAACCTGAGCTGACATAATGCGAGGCCCATGGGAGACAAGGTACCCAATGCCAAGGTAAGCCCACTCATGGATGGGGCTCCTAAGAGGACCCCAGGTCCCATGAGAAGCACTGATCAACCACTCCAACAACTGGCTGTTCCCATGACGGTATAATTCACACTCTTTGTGTACTAGATCTTGAACATGGTTGTACCAATATGGTTGATAGAGGTTTACTTTCCTGGAAGTTCACAC